TTCTGTGGCCATAACGGATAAGGGTTGCATTTCAGAATCTTCACTACGTACAGCGAACGTTAAGCCTATGTCCGGCTCCACAACCGTACAGCAATCGGCAACAGTAACGCCATGGCGCGGCAGCGAAACCCCTTTGGCTAGCATTCGACCAATATCGGTGCAGAATAGTCGAACAGCAGCCATTCTACCCACTAGCCAACAGCCTGCAGCCGGTGGATCATCGACGTCAACGTCAACTTCATCGTCTAGCACTACGAATGCTTCGACTGGCAGCAGTAACACGGCATTAGTTCCGCCACAGCAGCAGGTGCATACTACTGGCAGCAGTTCAATTGAGTCAATGTCATCGTCGCCAACTTCGTCGCACACCGATTACATGCCATCCACGAGTAGCTCGACTTCCGTTGCGGTTGCTGCTATTCCACCAATGGGTTCTACATCTGCAGCAGAAAGTTCCCAAGAAGCCGAAAGCATTCAACAGCCGCAACAAAACGAAACGCAATTGCTTGTAGGTGGAGGCCAGCAACAAGTTGTAGCCCTAGTTTCGCCACGTGTTGAGGGGTCCTCTCAAAATGTACCATCTCCGAATCTGCAACTTCAGCAAGATCCCGGAAATCAACAACCGAGCACATCGGGAACTACCAGTTCGAGCTCACATATTGCCGTTAGTAGTCACAGCCGTCATGCACCTTCGAGCAGCAGTGTTACCACTACACAGGCTGGTACATCAGGCGGTCACAAAAGGTCTCGCGAGCCAGAAGGTGACTCATCTACAAATGTTGAAGATTGTAGTGCTGATAAAACCATCAAACACCCAAAACGTTTGCGTGGATCTGAGCCCGCTATTTTGGGAGTAACAGAGTCTGGAATTGATGTTGAATATCAAGTTCCAACTTCATCGCAGCGTGATCAAGAGGATGACATTGTTGTTGTCGACTCAGAGGAAGAAGACGACGGTATGATTGATGCTGATGATGGACCAACTGACGGGGACGCCGAACACGAAGGGTATGAAGACTCGTATGAACAAGACCAAGATATGGATGAGAACGAAATTCCAGAAGTCAATGAAAGTAATATACACGCTGATGCCGAAGAAGATAATAATGAAGTAGATGTGGATGAGGGTACAGAGAACCAAGCACAATGCATTTCAGGTACGGACAACCAGCCAGATGCTCATTATAACACTGGAGCTAGTACAAGTCAAGCAGCAGCAGCTGCAATAGCACATAGTCATGAGATGGATAGCCATCAGCAGAGCCAAACTATTAGTAGCGGTAGCTATGAATCTAACACCAATGCCGGTATTCCATCTGGGCCTCAATGGAAGCAAACTCGCCCACAAAAGGCGACAATAATGTTACCACAACAGGGAATTAGTGGAAGCATAAATGAGAACACTGAACAAGATCTCAGTGGAAGTCGACCTTCAGATAGGTAGGGTTTATTATTTTATAAGCAAGTATGAACACAACAAATAAATATTTTTTTTTTAACAGCGGTGCTGAAATTGTCAGCTCACCACAAGGTTCGAAATTTGGCGCAAGTGAAACTGCAGGCCATTCCGATCAACACGAAAGCAGTGTTGCTACCAACGAGGCCACCGAGGAAAATGTGGCAGAGAGTGAAAAACTTGTTGGAGAGCACAACGACGAGAATTGTCCTGACGCTTCAAAAAGTGGTGGATCGGGTGACGCCGCGATTGCCACAGAAGAAGATATGGATGCCGTAGAAGAAGAGTTTGCGGAAGAAGCTGTCGCTGGTGAAGTTCCTGAAAATGCAGATAGCGAAAGTGAGTTTAGCACAAGAACAGCTCTTACCGTTTAGTCTAAACTTCATTGAAATTTTGATTAGGTCATCATAGCAGCGGTGCTACCCAGTCTGAAATACAAGATATCCAGCAAAATCAGGTGGAAGCAACGTCTGAAGATAATGAAGGCGCAGATGGTGTTTCCTCAGAGGGTGAAAAACAAGCTGTAGAGGAAGTAGAAGTATGTATTTTCAAATAAAATGTAAAACATTTTAAAAATTTTCGTTTTTAGGAAGAAGGACGTGAAGCCGAAGCCTCCACTTCACCTTCAATTACCACACGTTCAAAGGCCATCAAAGGTACGACAAATGTAAGAAGACCTTCTCGTGGGTTTCAGCGAGGTGGTAGACCTACACCCATAATTTGGCAAGGTATAAATAAATAATATATGCGAAATAAATGTGTCCATTTAAAGTTTATTTTCTGATTTATAGATAGCGCTGGCCATTCAAGGAACGTTTCTCCAAATCACCGTGGACAAGAACAACCTGGTAGTCCGCTTCGTGGCTTTCCCAATCAGCGTTCACAAAGAGCGCGACGTATGCGACGCCCAACCGGAGGAAATTACGGAAACATGCGTTATTCATAAATATTAGCCATTACAAATAGTATTTAAAAATATCATATAAAGCACTCATTATATTCCTCAATATAAAACGCTCGACCTAAAACGGGTTTAATTTTAAACACAGCCACTTTATTTTTACTATTAATACATTAATTTTACAATATTATATTTCATTTGAAATAGTATGACCTTTACAGACTCCAACGATGTTTCCTTCACGTGTTAATATTAAATATATATATTTTGAATATAACATCTTCAGTTTTCAAAAAGCGGTTGATTTAAATTCCACCACAATTTGTTTTAAAATGCTCGAAGTAATTAGATAAAATATTTCTTATGTTTAGTTTTATACCTAAAATGAATTATTTTTATAAAACGTTCAATCATTGTATAATATTTGCCTTATATTCTTGTTTACATTGTTTGTATTTACCTAAAGTCAGTAAAGTTATCTGGATAAATGTCTGAAAATTCGATGAACTACATATATGTATGTATAGCTGAGATCGCACCACAAACCAAAATTCTCTAGCCTTTGCCTAAAATACCATCCTTAACTAAAATACTCGTATAATCGAAGTCTCAAAACATTTCATTCACCCGTTCTGCAGCTTTTTCTACCTTGAACAGGGTATATTAAGTTTGCAACACCCAGAAGGAAACTATACTTGTAATATATATAAGCAGGGTTGATTTACTATGTCAGTCTGTATATACAGTAGCGGACAGTGAAATCCGGACAACTAAAAAATCATAGTTTTTCCATATTGTATTGGTCAAATGTTTTTTTTTTTACTTTTTTAAACAATAATATATGGTTAATACACGAGTATTAAGTGTAAACAAAGTCAGTGTTGTGCATTGTACTTTTTTCTTGTATTTTTTTCATTTAAGATAATTTTTTATTTTGGTAGCTAACAATATAAACAGTGATAAATTCTTTTTTATTTACTATAGAAATGATTTTATAGTTTTAGTTAAATTAAACATTAATCGATAAAAAGCAATCTCATTAATATTTTGTCGAACCTCCTCTGCTTTTAATAACGACTTTTACACGCTCGGGCATTGAATTAATAAGATTTTTTAAAGCTCCTGCTGCGATACGGTTATACCACACTTCTTCGAGAATTCTGTCCAATTCCGCTAAAGTTTTTGGTCTCTTCTGTGCGACCTGAGCCTTCATTACAAACCAAATGTTCTCAATGGGGTTGAGATCCGGACTGTTACCTGGCCACTCCGAAGACGAGACCCCGATTTTCGATAAATAATTCTTCACCCGAAAGAAAGAAGTGTAAAATTTGTAATCAAAATTATAGCAATAAACTCTAGTTGTACAAAAAAATTTATACTTACTATTTTAGCACGATGGCAGGGTGCAGAGTTATCCTGAAAAATAAGGACATCCGCTCGTGAAAAGCGGTTCTCTTTTGAGGGTATTAAATTAGTCTCAAGTATCTCCTGATACTTAGTCCCGTTAACGGTTCCATCTAATAGGGCTAGTTGCCCAAGGCCATGGTAAGAAAAGCAGCCCCAGACCATTCGGCTGCCCCCCTGCTTAACTGTTCTTTGAACGCATTCGTCCTTGAACCGCTCACCAGTTCTCCTTCTTACGTAGGACATACCGTCGCTGCAAGATGAGTCCATTTTTGATGTTCTTTTGCCCATCGTAAACGGTTTTGACGCACTTTTATGAAATAATAACCCTTTCGGCAGTAAAATACACCAGTCGGTTACAATCGCGCTTCAAATACAAACCGAGCGGTTGTCCCGATTTCACTGCCCGCTACTGTACATACGACAACTAAAACAACCTCCCCCCCTTTTTTTTTGATATCTGAAATTCTGCATATGTCCTTTCATCCTCAAAAAGCTGCTCATTTGTCGGAACCGATATCGGACCACTTTAGCATATAGCTGCCATATAAACTGAACGATCAGAATTAAGCTTTGTATATAAACCTTTTTTTATTTAACAATATATCTTCACAAAATTCGGCATGATTTATTGCTCACTGCAACACTACTAAGAAATTGTATAGATCGAACCAGTATTCATATAGGTCTCGTGTGAAAATTTCTTTATTTTTTTTTTGGGCATTCTAGATTCAGTGCAACCGAAGTTAACGCTTGTTCTTGTTTTTATATTCAATGTAAAAAGTTGGTGAATTTCCATCGTTATCGTCCCAGCACAAAAAAGAAACAACCGTTCAATTTCATTAATGCAACACAATAACGAATTTATATGCCAACATAAACAATGGATTGAATATATCATTAGCCACATGATACCAACCAGCAGTCTCCTGAATGGTTGTTGGCCCAGGGAAAACCCGACTTTTCCAAAGCGTTCGATAACACAATAGTCCCACAACAGCCGGTTCCGTCACCGGATTTTATCCGGCCAAGGACTGTTATTCCGGCGATTTAAACCCTATTGGATCGGTAAGTAATAAGTACCGCCGGATAAAGCCTTGTATTTTTTGCGATGCACATGGAATTGCTAATTATGTACTAGCAATTCACATTTAGAAAATTGGATTGCCTTTATGATCTAGTCATTTAATAAATAGGACCTCTTGCAAAATGACCACCATAGAAAGAGAAATAAAGTGGTTATTAAATTTTTATGAGTTTTATTTTTTTTTTTGTTTTCTGTAGAAACTAAATGAATGTATTTTATTCATTAAGTAGAAGATTTACGATCTTGGACGTTCCTTCTTCTCCTTGTACAATGCAAGCAAAGAAACGTTTGCAACTTTCACCACCTTGAAACGAACACCGGGAATATCACCGACGGCGTGACCTTTACGACCGAAACCGGCAACCAGGACTTCGTCGTTCTCTTCAATGTAGTTCAAGCTACCGTCACGGGGTACGAAAGCGGTAATTTTTTTGCCGTTCTTGATTAGTTGCACTCTCACGCACTTGCGGATAGCTGAGTTAGGCTGTTTTGCTTCAACGCCACTGCAATTGAATATTCATATTAAAAAATAATACACTATTTGTAGTCGAAATATCACTAATAATAAAATAAGTTTGCGGACAGTGATACGCTGCTCACAGTATAATCCTGTGATATGATTGTTAAGTACACATAACACAAAAATATACTGCGTGCTGCATAATCATTAGCTAAAGACAGATGTGCCACACATTGCATCGTAACATAGTTAACACATTTTCCAAATAAAGTTCTAAATATACATACACTTTTTCGAGTACAATGCCTTTGGCATGTGATGCTCCTCCAAAAGGATTGGCCTTCCATCTGGTTCCCAAATGAGCTTTTTTGTAGTCTTTATCAGCCCAACGCTGATCACGGCGGTGATTTACATGCTTCCTAGCAGTGCGGAGACCTCTTGGCTTGCCTACAATACAAAAGATAAATAAGAAATAATTAGTATATATTTGATCAGTACTATAAAAAAAATTATTCTCTAATTATATATTTGTACACGGAACTATATTGAGGTTAGATTTCCGAATGAATTTAATATTTAAGAGATGTGACTTTAATATTAGTTTTAACAGTTGAAACTGAAAAACCAAACTCACTTTTATTTCGAAATTATATTTATAACAAGATGATTCTAGTGATATTGTTGGATAAAACAACTAAGTTTTCGGCAACTACTTGCGCTTAGACGCCGTTTCATTTACGACGAATTTCTTTAAGTTTTCCAAACTTCTGTGAGGAACTTTTACTTACTGCTACATATTTTTCATCCCCGTTTAAAACCTTTCACAAACTGTACGTAAATATAACATTAAAATGCTTCAAAACGAATGAAATGAACTATTCTGCAACTCACCCATAATTTCCAAACTTTCTCAAGCAATGGCGGAAATAAAAGAACGAGCTGTCGTTCGGATCGTATACATCTTTCAAATTCCTGCTACAACAACTTGTCAAGCTGTCAAACAATTTCTCAAGCAGGAAGTGTTCGGAAAGTATTAAAGCCTATGTCGCATTGTAGCCCAATATAATAAGCAAATACCAAATTCTAATGAAATATACGGTTACAGAACCAAAATAAATGATTTGAAAGCGGAAAGATATTTATACATTTTGATGAAATCAGTTACTATCGGAATTCTATAGAATTTATATTTACAAATAAATTAATCTGTAACAGCGCACACTACATGTTATTCCAAAATACATAAAATACTATGACAAATTATATAGCTCCCTGTACAAATTATAAACTAAATTAAATAAATTTGATTTGCTTTTGCTATATCTTCTAAACAAATACATACATACATATGTACTTATACTATTTATTTTAACAATACTTATTTTCATATTCACGCAACATGTTGCTACAGAGTATAATAGTTTTGCTCAGGTAATAGTCGCTTGTAACACCTACAACTTATTGAGATAGATAAAGAATTATATACGTACATACAAAGACAGTCTGCAGGTAGCTGTCATAGACGCCAACTCCACCTCACCAAGCACCATACAGGAGAGATGTGTAGAGATTGGCGGAATATTGTCGAGTCTAGTTTTAGGCTACGTACTCGACAATCCTGCGGGGGACCCAACCAGGAGTTTGACTCTTCCGAAACCCTTAGAGGTTACAGAGTCATCAAATGTGTGGACCAGGCATCCTTGGATTTCTTGACGGATAGTGTCGCCAATACTAGAAATGTCTTTGAAGGCCTGAAACTGAAGCATATACCCGCCAAGGATATCCCAAGGAGATCTCCTGCTCGCAATAGGCTGCCCCTTTGAAGGAGCCAGGCGAAAAGCTCCTGAGACGCATCAAGCTGCAAAACAAATCTGTACCAGTTATAGATGACTGCGTCAGCTATATTGATGGGTCCAAAATGCGCTGCGGTGTAGGGGCATGTGTATACTCCGATAATCTCGAAATTTCGCATAGACAGGCAGCACTGCTGGCCTTGTCGACGCCACTTATTAATTTCAGCGTAGTTAACAATTGCAAAACAGCTTTAAGCTCACTAGCAGGTCAACTCCACTTGTCCTTAATTTGGGTTCCCGGCCACGAAAATGTCGTTCAATGTGTGAGTTATAAATTTGTAAAATATTTGAAAATATGCTCTCAAGTACACATATGTATGTACATACCTCAGCAACGTATAATAATTTCCGACTTTCCACCTGACAAAATGTGTGATACTTTAATAAATTTAAATGAACAAGTTTTCTTAAAAATTATGTGGGAATATGAATGAAATTGGTCTCTACCTTGGGCCAAACATTATATCCCTAATATAATGAATTGGAATTCTCTTCAAACAGAGAATCGAAATTATTTATATTACGCATATGAAGCTAAGCCCAAGGTCTAGACCAATTCCATTGTGGAAGCCACATAATTTTCAATGAAACTTGTCCATTTAATTTCATTAAAATAACACACATTTTGTCCAACCTGTACGGTTTAAAGTCCGGTGGAAACTCGGAAATCACTATACACTATATTGGGGGCAGAGACAAGGATGGATTGATTGCATTAATTTGCGTCACCAGGTAAGAACACCTTCGTCAACCTAATATAACTGCTTCTAATTTTTATTTTGTTCAAAACTTGCAGTTTATTGTTTTCTGATTTTCTCATCTTTGTATGAACAGTCATTGGCAATGAAAACATGCGATATACCATTTTGTTTTTTCTTTTAGTCGAAAAGTGTTATTTTTGCGTCATCAGGTTAGCACATTTGTCTTGCATTTATCTTCGGAGTTTGAATATGTATTGACACCAAATTTTTTTTTGTATTGTATTGTTTAAGTGCTATATTGTCTTTAATGTGGATAAAGGAGAATCGCTCTGGGTTAAAGGAAAAGTAATAATCGAAGTTTATCAAAAGGTACAGCTTTTAATAATGAAAATATCCGAAAAAGTCGGTAGAAACCAAAAAGTTATATACAATTTTTTGCGTAATAACTCGGAGTATGGTCGGAATAATAAAGGCAGTTACAATAAAGTGATTTCCGATGTTGAGAAAGGAGCAATTTAGAGAAAAGCATTCAGTTTATCTACTGTTAAAAGGGTGATAAGAATTGCTCTATATTTGAAAATATTAAAACTAACAAAACTAAAAAACCAAAACTTAAGGAAGAGAAACACGATTACATTTTCCAACCGAAATTTTTTTTAATTTGGAAGGGTCTGATGAATACAATTATTATTTTCATGATCTTCGGAAGGAAGAACATTAATTGGATCGACTTATGTAGTAGACGCGTGAGCGGTTCTAATATCGTAAAACTGCAATTTTTGAATGCTTAAATGAATGCAATCGCGTAAAAAAACCAACCGAAAACTGCTTTTCTCCATTTAAAAAATTTTTTAGGACACGATAATGCACCTATTCACACTGCCGGGGCTTAAAGTCTGGGATTAAAGGAAAAAACGTCGATTACATGCAGTGGTCGCCTTACTCTCCAGACATCCATATAATAGAAAAGGAATGAGGATAGTTTGTTCGCAAAGTTTCCCAGTCTGGCCGACAATATTCCATTAAATAGAAATTAGTTGAAGGTATTAAAACTTGGTCATTAATTTTGTTAAACGCTATCGTAAAATTGTACGAATCGCTACCCAATCGAATCTTTGACATCATTCTCAACAATGAGGGATCGACTCATTATTAAGATAATACACAAATGTTTAAATAATTTAATACATACTTTTAAAAATATTCTTTTGTCTGAAAATGTTAAAAAAAATACTGAAAAAAGGGAATACTGAAAAGGATAACCTGATAACCTAACTTAAATTGTTAACTTTTCTGTTGGTTTCGGAAAAATTGTTTAAAATACAATATAAAAGAAAAAACGGTAAAACACTAATTGTTATAATTTAAGAATTATGGCTTCTTTAGTTTCGATAGAAATTAACCAGTTGGGTTCATATTAAAATAGTGGATAGGTTTTCTTGGTAAACACTACTTGAAGAAGATTGCAGCCTAAATTATGCTTTCTATTTAACATATATATATATAAGAAATAAAATATCCTTGAACATGTTGCCGAGGATAAAGTAATTATGAACAAGTAAGGAAACGCTAAGTTCGGACGTAACCGAACATTTTATACTCTCGCAAAGTCAAATGGCATACTCGTTTTAGATTTCTTTGTGGATCTTGCCGCCTTGTTCTATGTTGACCGATATTTTCGGTAAAAAGTCAACTATAGGCACTGGGGTCTACATATTCAGTACCTAGGGGCTTGAACAGTCTTGATTCAATTTAGATAATTTTTGGTCACAAGGTGGCATACTTTAAACGCATTATTCACGCAAAGTTTTACCCCGATACAATCATTGTTGCTTGATTTGCATACTGGAAAGTGAAAGAATCAAATGGAATTTACAAGTAAAATGGTGTTATATGGGAAATAGGCGTGGTTGTAGTCCGGTTCGCACTATAGCATAGAAATATGAGAAGAATGTTATGTACCGAATTTGGTTGAAATCGGTTAATGGCGTTTTGTGGGCGTGGCAGTGGTCCGATTACGCCCATCTGCAATACCAACCGTCTTACGGTACCTATCAAGAAACATGTGTACCAAGTTTCATAAAGATATCTCAATTTTTACGCAGGTTACAGCTTGCACAGACGGACGGACAGACAGTCACCCGGATTTCAGCTCGTCTCTTCATCCTGATCATTTATATATATATAACTCTATATCTAACTCGATTAGTTTGAAGTGATATTGTACAAACAACCGTTAGGTGAACAAAACTATTATATTCTGTAGTAACAACTTGCGAGAGTATAAAAATTAGTGGACTTTATGATAGTTTGGAATACATGTTTTCTCTAACACTTAAACTAATAAATATTAGCTATGCTGCGGCACACTATGCTATGCCCTTGGCACCGACACACATGTTCATAGTATTTGAACAACTGTCTTCAGTATTTCGACCGTCGTTCGACATATTACGCAAGAAATTGTATATAACTTTTTGATTTCAGCCAACCTTTTTTGAAATTATAATTAAAAACTGTAACTTTTGATTCTCTTCAGCCGATAGCGATTCTCCTTTATTGGTGTTATTACGAATTCAAACACCGAAGATAAATATAAGACAAATTGCATGTGCTAACCTGATGACGCAAAAATAAAGCACACTTTTCGACTAAGAAGAACAGATAGTGGCAAAAATCATATAACGGGTCATTCTTATTCATATATATTTTAAATTTTTTCAAAAAAAATTTTTTTTTTTTTAAATAATAATCATTATTTATTAGAAATGTGTGTTAAATTATGTTAATTTTTTTTCAAATGTTCAGTTTTTTATTTTGGAAAAAAAAGAATTCGCCAAAAAGACACATTGGAAATTTATCACAAGAGGAACCTCGGATGATCTAATATACAAGTATGAAGTATAGCCATATTTTTGGTTATGGGCGGTGCCTGAGATAGTTGTGTAAAATTTGGTAGATGCAAAATAGTTCTCTGTTTTAAGTAGCGTAGTTGGCCTCTGTAACTTCGAACTGTTCTAATGCTCCTATATCGAAATCAGAAACAATTTACTGCTTTATTTTTTGGGTAAAAAATTTTATATTTTAAATACTTTTCAATTTTGGGGAAATTTTAAATTTAAAGACGTACGTAGTTTACTATAAAAAATATTAAATTCCCATTTTTGATTTTATTTCAGATAACTCGATTTATTTTATTCACTCTCAGCCATAGAGGCCCTGTGGAATAGGGTGATTTTGAAGATTGACCCTGTATCAATATATGAATAAAAAACTCAATCCCGTTTGCAACCAGACGCGTTGCAAGATTTCGGGATAAACATCTCTAGTTGACAAATACTTTCGAATGCATACTTACATACGAGTATATTGGATAGTTATGAGAATGTTGCCTATTTTTGTAAATTTTTAATTATTGCCAATAACTGCTGGTGGTACTGTCTAAATATCTATTGCTTTTTAGTCTTTTAACCATGCATTGCACGCACTGAGACCATTCTCTTTCACTTATGTACATGCATGTGCAAGTGATTGTAATTGTTTTCATTGAACTATTTGCTGTCTGTCTACCGGTAGGTATGGCAGTGACAATTTTTTGTTCGCGCCTATTATAGCTGCACAAAGTAGTTCATGTGACGCACGTACATACATACATACAAATATATGTATATATGCGTGGAGGCATACAAGAACACACGCATGTACATTGTATATGTACTTGACACATACATACATGCATATGTTTGTATATACATACACATAGATATATGGTTACATATGAACATCAATCCCAACCTATCTCGCTTATGCGCGAGTATAACCCATACGGACAATTATTAAGCTTCAATGTGATAATGTGACGAAACTCTGCACATAAGTACTCGCGATATTGGTTATGACTGAGACTCTGGTGTGGCGCTAAAGCCAATATTTTGCTGTTTCCGCTTCTGCTTCTGCCTGTGTTATTGATGCCTTTATATAATATAGTGTTGTTGTTGTATGAATAGTTAGAACTGTAGTGGAATTGAGAATGACAATTTCGCCACTCGCTAATAAGCTAACACACACATAAGAAATTTAGTATTTAATGCGCACCTTCAACATGCATAGTGCTGAGCATGAGCACCTTGATGCGGCGCGTTTCGCCTTTCAGCAGTAATTTACAAAGTATGGCAAACGAGTAGACAGAGAACGAATTTGCTGCACATGTTTCCTAATGCCAATCTAACTCAACACAATTCAAATACTGATCGGGTTCTTTGCAGTTTTATTCATGCCGACTTAGTAAATACAAGTTTTGATACATACATTCATATCCATGAACGCCCGCTCATACGTATACCACACGTACATTTGTATGTATGTATGTATCCGCAATTACTTGTTCGGTGCATGCTGCTCCCTTGTTGACTTACTGTCGTTCTCGCCGCACGCGTCCGCATAGAGCTAAAACTACGTATTCCTATGCATGTAAGTATGTATGCATATGCGCATGTATGTATGAGTTGTTAGCATTGCTTGCTGGCAGTCTGCTTTGCTACTTTTGCTTTGCCGTTTTGACTTTGGGGCTTTTTGCTCTTTTGGCTTCGCCGCCTTTCGTTTTCAACTGTTGGCTCGTTGCTTGTTGGCGCTTATACGAGTATTATTGTTTTTGTTTTTCGCTGTTGGCGCAGTCACAAATGCTGAAATGGCCTGGCCGCTTACTGTCGCTCCATGGCGTTGTGCTGTTTTGTGTGCCGCGCGCTTATATTCTCGCCCATATCTGTAGCCAGAGCATTGAGCCGCGCACAATTCCATTCCTTTAGTTATTTGAAAGCAGTCTGAGGAAACGGTTGCGGGCTCGTCGCTACCGGATGATAAGCAATCGTCTATTTTAAATTGATCGGCGCCAGGTGGTGATTATTAGTTAGTGTTTAGTTTTCGTTTTCTTAGCACCACGGCTTAACATACACGTCTACAGGGCACGCCACTTAACACGGGAAGCTATGTGCACATTCATTCACATATGCACATACATACATACGCATACACATATGTAAATAGTTAGTGCATCGCGCAACAGTAAAACGTGCTTTCAGTTTTTCAATATTCGATTCATTCATCCGTTCGTACTTTCATTTTAGTATTCTTTAAAAAACTATTTGAACAAAAAGAAATAAATAAAAACACTTGCGTACGTACAAAGCCAAGCATATCATATACTTTAGTACATATATTGGTGTGCATGCGTATACATAAGCATATTTTAAGAAAATAGAATTACATGGCATACATGTTTATATGTACATATGTATGTATGTGCGCTTAATGTTCGAAAAAATAAAAGCAAACGGAATGCAAAAAGTGAAATGTGTTTAGATTTAGTAAATCAAATCGAGCTGTGACTACAAGAAGCAAATGAATAGGTAAAACACAAGTAAAGACAATTCGAAAATAGCAACATAGAAAAAGGAAGAAGTAAATACAAAGTTAATAGAGGAAATTCTTAAATTTTGTGAAGTAAAAACACAAAATATCACTAGCAAAAGCTCGAAGCAGCATTTGCGCCGACTGTTTGCCAATACATCCAACTAGCACACTGAAGGCGTGCGCGTACGACTTACTACACACTCACAAATAAGCGATTGAGAGCGAGTTCAAGTTGCTTACAAACAGACACGCACACAAGTGCACGTGACAAACGAAAGAAAGGCGAACTGGTGTAGAAAGCGTCGCCCACAGTTTATCAGTTTATGTGGTAGAACGCCCTGTGTATTTTAGCTAGCTGCATAAACGCGTAAGCCTCGCTGTGCACCAAGGCAATCCGTCGGTGCCATCATTCTGAACATCATCGAAAAAAACCGTTTTTACGTTCGCGTATGCAAACAGCTGGATCTACAACAGTACGTCTGGAACGACAGCCACAGATCAACGACAAAGCTAACGTAGATAACAACTATCAACCAAAACAACAACGGTTCATACGATAAAAGCCAAGTAACAATAACAACGATTAGAGCAACAGCAGCAGCGACCATAATAATAAACAACGACGACAACAACGCAACCAGTGATAAACGACAACCCAAAGACTTGTGCATCGGCGACAGCTACTCATTTTGTCGTATTAATTTATTTATTTATTCAACACACTGCAGGTAAATGAAAATTATTCTCGCATTTAGATTTAAAATTATATATATAAGTATGCGCGCGCGAGTATGTAATTGACAGCAGTTCGCTAACTTGACTATCGATCGGGCTCTATCGCTTAGCCTGACAGTCCAATCAACCAAGAAACTGGTAGCTTTACACAGGGCATTCGAGACAACAGCGAATGTCTGATATATAGCCCAATTCTTCTACACATTCCCACATTCTTGCTAACCTCACTGTTGTGCGTACGCACCTATATATTCTAACTGATTTTGACTGCAATAGTGGAAAACTTCGAGCGCTCACTCACCATTACTGTCACACTGTCGCGTTGCAATCGACAGCAATATTTTATATTCTCATGTACACGCATGTCCATGTGACACTACTACCAGGGGACCGTAATTGCGCCCGTCAGACCATTCTCCTAGTCGGCCCATTGCGATCATACACACGTAACAAGTTGTGTTGACGCTCGCTGTGGTGCTGGCTTTCGCACCGGTTGCCGGCAAGCGGATCGCGCACGCTACACGAGCAGTAGCGACTATTGCTGCTCGGCCGTATTTGCTGCTTTACTCAATACGAATCACACGAAAGTATGACCGGTAATGGTGCTGAAATACTGATACGCTGTAGTTGTTAGTGTGCAATGGCCGAGGCTGTTGGCATTGGATATGACGTAGACGACGTTGGCGATGTTAGCGCTCCCAGCAGATACTGCCTACATAAATGCACCGCACAATTGGTAATGGGCGAATGGGTGTCGTACCCAGCCTCTTGATTTCTTAGTCTATTATATGGTAAAGACTGCGTGTGGTGTACGAGTTCAGAAGCAGTTTCTCCGGTTAAAGCAAATAAGTTAAGAGCAAAACAAAAAGGCAAAAATAAACCGTCATATTAAGAAGAAAAAAACTTTTTCCGACTTAGTCTATTTCAATTGTCTGCAGATACGTATTTACTAATGAATATTGAACTCCTCTGAAGCCTTATGCACCACACAAATGAATATTATATACGCACGTGGCATTAAGTAAATGGCATATCTTTCCGACTTGAATGCATACACATGTACATATGTATATACATATATAATTCGTGTACTAGTTTGGCCTGTTTATAACATACGTATGTATTGTATGTATGGCGGTAGTTAGAGGGAATCAGGACCTGGGTTCAGTTAAAATTGCCAATTAACCCGTCATCCCTTTAATTGGTAATCAGAGACCTAGGCGAGCACCTATGCCACAAAACTTTAACTTTTTATATGAAGAATTCGATTTTGTCAGAGCAAACTTCTGTAGGAAGGATTTCGGAAGGATTTGTCTGAACCGAACATTAGCTAACCAATAAACACTGTAAATCTATTACATTGTTTTTGTGATGGATTATATTATATTTGCATAAATATATAAATAGTTCAACTCTATAGAGCCCGAATATGTTGCGTATTAACATTTTTGGTAGATCACAATCAAAGTGATAATAATATTATACTAACAGCAATGGACAAATACATATACTGCATTTGTATAAATAATTACATACATACATGCATACATATGTATGTGTCTATGTTTGTATACAAGAAGTTATTTCATCGCTGCACTTACAGTTAGAGTGACAATCGCAACACTCAAGATCCGACTAACCTCTAAGAAAGCTCCGAAATGTATGCATATCACACATACACTATTTACATATGCATGTACATAAGTATGCACATGGAGCATGACCACAAAGAACAGCAAGCATGTGAGCGGTAAGAGCACCGTATGAGTCGCGCTGGTAGCACAATGCGGCATGCCGAAAGTTTATCGCATTCATTCGCACGCATACATGTCCATATGTACATATGTATGTATGTAAGAATCGAACATGTATGAATATAAGTATGAACATACACATATCTAACGTGCATATACTTGTATGTACATTTATTTACAAATAAAAGTATGACGACTGCGAAATCATTATCAGCTACACACGGCAAAAAGGGGCCGGTGCGTGCATTAGATTCATTATTTTGAGAAAACCAAAAATTATTTATTTTTCATTTATATAAACTACATTTTAACAATGGACTAGGAGCTTTTTACAAACAGGTACGTACAAATGCATGTGTGCACTGACTTCGCTGTGTGTTCATGTGTATATTATTCAATTTGGTGTCACTTTATTGCTGTCGAAATATGTGAAGAATTTGCCCTTCCCGATAATTATTTATTACAATCGAAGCGTAGTTGCATTACTATACTGTTATGACACACATGAGTTAATACTTAAACTTAAAACCAACTGCTAGTAAAAAATGCCACATTTCCTATTTGAGCATATTAGTCAATTGATTGCATAATGCAGGACGGATAAGCAATCTGTATCATAATCAGCAATCACCTGCATATGCATGAATGTGTATTAGCGGTAGTATTAGTATTAGTGTAATATACATAGATACACACATACATATTTCATTTCTTACTTTTAAATTCTTGTCGGTTTGCGTGGTTAAACACTTGCGTAACTTGTCTAGAGTATTTACGCGAACGCATGCATATGTATGTGTGGTAGATTTGTGTATATGTATGCACAGTAAAAATCTACGCGAGCCGTCTGATTATCAGATCAGGTGGTTTTTGGGAAAAACTTGGAGAAGAAAAAGCTCAAACTCGATTTGTACAAAAACACTTAGTCATTAGTCTCAGAAGCATTTAAGTGCTTGGCAACGTGATTTTTTCGTTCATAAAAAGATCCATTTTAAATTTCACCCATTAGTGTAATTTTTGTAATTAATCCATCTCTATTTTATAATAAAATACTTTTATTGTGTGTTATTGAATGATTTCTTCTTCTCAATAAATTTTTCAAATTTTGTGCAAGACCTTGAAAAGAAAAGTTCGGAAAGACACTTTTAAAAAATCTAAATAATCAAAAGGAAATCGAAAATTTTTACACAACTCAAGATCTAAGTATAATGTGGTCATTTCATAGAATGTACTAACATAACCAAAATGTGTTTTAGCGCCCTTTTGTCTGCCATGATCACTTCAATTTCTTATGTCGTTCTGTACTGTTTATTTTGGCGGGAAAAAATTTTACTTTTCCTACTAAGGTGGTTTATTTTATTATTTATACTAAAATAAAAGTCATTGTCCACCTGTCATTCTCATTTGCTCTCGATTAATACAAGCTAACGGCTTGCGTCTTTTGTCGCCAACAGCAATGTTGTCTGCAAAACACCCAAATTTTTCAAATTACCTGTGTCTTGTAGTTGTACACTTGTAACGTTCACAACTTGTCAGGAATGGTGGTGACTGCCCCTATGAAAGAGTTCAACTAGGTCTTGACGAAATCTTTCGTTTTATTCTCAGCACATTTTAGTTCGTGAGCGCAGGCAAGTGAAGGATAATTTAAGTAAATCTAATTGCTGCATACACAGAGTAAAATTTCACCTCATAGGAAATTTATATTATTGACTCATGAGTGTATATTACATTTCCCTAATTGTTATCCCTCCTATTATTATTAGCATTATATTGTAGCATTATAATAATCAATATACATTAATATATTTATTTACTCTCGAGTAGTACGCATACCATATATGTAATTTCGTAGTTGAGGTTTCAGGGGTGCACGAATGGATGCTTTCTTTCTCTAGTATTTTTTTTCAAAAATTCAAAGATATTTAATAAAAAGAAAGTTGGCCAAAGTGCTTTTGTTTAAGTGAGATATTGTCGGTCACGAGTGGAGTGGCATTTATCATTCTAAGTGTACAAGGGATATTTCAAAGGAAATAAAATGCATAAATATACTTTTATACAGTACATTTATGTTAATATGTACATATATGTGAGTAGTTAATTCGTGCATTGATCTGTTTTCGGTTTGTTACACCTTAAGGCTGTCTATTCTTGCTTATGTTCTGTTTTTGTTTTTAATGTTTTGAATATTAGTAAACAGTTCCAATTAAAAAATATAACATGTGCTCATAAATATATACAAACTTTAGTGTGCATACACACATCGCTGCAGTTTAAATACTGATAAAGCCGCTTACCCAGATAACCTATAGCACCTTTTTATAAAATTTTGAAATAAAAACAGATATATGTATAGCTTTTTTGTATTTCGTATTAAACACGACAAGTCGAGATTCGTTTCATAATAAATGGATAAATAGGCAAATATGGAAACGGATATATAACGATGAACAACAAAATCAATTTCTATCTTCATAAACTCGTATGACCACTTTTAAAGAAGAATAATGAATATTAAATGTAACAAACATTCGTTTACTACGCATACAGTGTACAGCGTGTTATCAAAAAAGTATATTTTAAGAATTATCCAAAAGTTACCTACCTGCGCCTTACTACACCACACCATACATACGAGTATACGTACGACGTCAACGCCGTCGTTTGGATATCGTCATTCCATTTGGGCAAATTCAAGCAGAAATCACAAGCGTAAATTAATCGTAATTGAAAAATGAATATTTGGCAAATACATAAGTGGGGCTTCATTTTGTCTAAAAGCAAATGTTTCAAAATTACAATATTATACTTGTTCGAAATATAATTATAAAAGGTAGAAACCTAAAAGTGTACCTGAGATCTGTCTTTATTTATCATGGGTGGCCTGTTACTAACTGTTATTTGAATGTTGCTAATAAATTATAACCTTATTCAAGAGTAATAATTTGTATAATCTTTACAGCTGCAAGTCGCCTGATTATGCTAACAATTCGTTGACTACAAATATTCAAAGGCCATTATACAAAAACAACTTTCTAATGGTTGATACTTGATATTCCCTTGTAAAAATTAAATGTGAATAAAATGTTGATAGGCTTTTAGATCATTCAATATGTTTAGTTGTCAAGGATTTTTTGTTAATAATATCTTTATGGCTTTATACTATTTTAATATAAGAATTTTAAGAGACTTGTGTACACAACAATAAGCATAATTACTTACGTACATAAAAAGACAAAAGT